TCAGATAAGAAAATGAGCAGTAGGATTTTCTGTTGAGCAATTGCTTCATATCAGGGGTTATGAATTCAGTTCCCAAAAGGGACCAGGTAGGGGACTCAAATTAGAGAAGCAGGTTAGGTGCCTAACAATAGGAAGTTGGGGTAAGTACAGTGGCCTGAATAGCACATGCCATATCTAAAGACAGAAGCCACTACTCAGCTCTAGACGTTTGTTGCACAGTGAAAAATGTGTGGCCAGCATTGCAATTTCTTCAGATTTTTAAGAGGAATAAGAACTCCAGACTTTTAAGTGAGTTATCTCAGATTTTGAAGTTGGCAACTTATTCAATTAGACAACAGCCTGTGTTGATCAAACAAAATATGCCACTGGGCTAGGTGCAGCCTGCAGGCAGCAGTTTGCACCCTCTGCTCTAGATGCCGATGCTTATTTGCAGCAGAAAATATCCTTGCTTCCTTGACATTTCTAAGAGCATGGCTGGATTTACAAAGTAGTTAAACTTTGATATAAGTGATGGTTTTGTTAAAAAGCATGAATGCTACATACTCTGTAAAAGGAGTTAGTTATCGGAGCTAGTACATGTTCACAAAGAGCACATGTAAATAACTACACTTGGTTCTTTATGGTGATGGTGCATACTGGTGTATCAGGCAGTGCTGTAATAGAAATTTGAAAGAGTCTGTCCCACTATGTTGCAAACAAATTATATAGAGAGAAAAATGTTGGCTAAATAATGCAATAATCAGTCTTCTCATTAAGTCAAAATATAAGTAGAGTGTTGACAAATAGATTTATATTACTTTAGGAGGCATTTTGTTGCAGTCCATATCTTTTCCCAAGTTTTTATCCACAGCGATGCAGCAGTACCAAAACCCCAGATTGGAAGGAATTACCAAAATGTTAGATAAAATAATCAAATTAAATAGATCTTTATTTGCTGAGAAATTTGCCCATCTGAACAAATTATAATTTAAAAGGTATGAGGTATTGCTCTAAATGTTAAACAAATGAACAAATTTTGGAAGAGAGAATTTGCTTCAGTGGATAGAAATTATAAGGTTGATTTAAGATTAAACCAGAATGAATTTTGTCACAGTTTAATTACCTGAAAATGTCTCATCATTACTTATTCATTTTTATTCCAAGGCTGGATATTTTAGAAATACATGCTTACACTGGATCATGGGTTGTGTGTCATGGACCCCTGAACATGTGTTATTCAGTCAGGTTGATTAGAGTTCTAATCCCAAGCTTTCCATTTGGTAGATTTGTGACCTTGAATAAATTGCCTTACCTTAGTTTAGTCAAATATACATTAAAGAATTATTATAAGAATGAGATGACATATAAAGTACCTAGCATACTGTCATACATATATTAGTACTTAAGAAGTTTTATTTCCTATTCTTCCAATTATTTTAACACATAGATCCTGTGATTCTTAAATTCTATTCTATACCTCCCAGGTGGGCATATAACTGACTATTGAATTACACTCCCCAAATAGAAATGATAAAACATGTTGGGGACTTAGAGATGACTGTGTGAAACATCTCATAAGGGTAAGCTTGTTTTTAAATAGTGTCCATCCAATTTATGAATAAAATCACAGCCAGGTACCAGGATAAAATTCAGTAAATGTTAGTTTTCGTGGATATTTAAAAAATAGCAATTATATTGATAATAAAATGCTTAGTACAAATAAGAAGGGTTAAGTTTTTAAAGTAACCTAAATATGGATATAGTAATTATTAAACAATAATCTTGCAGATAAGTTATTTATCTTATATATGTATACGTATAAATTAGCTTCTTAATGAAAAATGGGTTCTCATTTGTCTTCACAATTTGAAAGGAAATTGAAAGGGAAAGATAAACAATGAAAAATAATATGTAAAGATGAGAAAATCAAAACACTTAAAGGAATGTTAAGGTATTTGATCTAGGAAGAAAATGATTATCTCATCTTGTAATAACTTGTAATTATGAAGTATGTATTATATTTTTTATTTTTATAGTAGGCCAGGAAAGAAGAGTTAGGTTTAAGTAAAGTTTCACATTATTTAAATAAGGTGAAAATGACAACATAATGATTAACAGGTAGACTTGCAGTTACCTAAAATCAGTAAATTTTTCTTTAAAGCTCTTTGAGAGTAGAGTAGATACAGACCAGCATGTTTCTTGAATAGATTAGGTCTCATCTTATCTATATAGGTCTGAACTATGTGACACATTGAAATGTTCTTGAAATAGTAATTTCTTTAGGTCATTAAAAGTTGAAATGTATGAAATGACTACAAATGAAAGAATTTACATTGTAAGGAACTATCATGTGTATGGTAGAAGGACATTCTCCATGAAAACTATTTCTTTTGAGTTACAGTGAATACAGAAACTGTGATGTGCTAATTTGTATTATATTGAGTTGATAATATAAAAGCAGTATTGGTAGTCTTAAGAATTATTGTTTTTCTGTAAGTGAAAGATAAAGTAGAATAAGCATCTAAGCACTAGGAATTCAAGAGTTGAATAATTTAAATATGAAAATTTAGATTACCAATATTAATTTCTGATTTGCAGATTCCCCCAAAGCTGTCACAGGTTTGTCATATACCTATCCAGATTTTTCCAGGCTCTCACGTAAAGTTGTCAACAAGCTTGTTGTAAATACTCTGTTCCAGCACCTTCCTTTTAAAGCCTTCATTCTTGTTTCAGTCTGAACTGGTTGCTCTCTAGGCCTTTGCACAACTCTTACCGTAGCCGCACTCTTCTTCCATGGTCTTAGATTTCTGGTCTCCTGCATCCCAGCATTGCCTCCTCTTGGTCTCGCTCAGTTTGTTGAAGCCATCCTCTAGGATGGGTTAGGGGGGTGAGTCTCAGAGTCCTTGCATGACTGAAAGTGCTGTATCCTCACACGTCATTGATAGTTTCTCCAGACAGAACTCTGGGTGCAAAGAATTCAACCTCTGCGTTTTGAAGGCATTGTCTTCCAACTTGCGGTATTGCTCTTGAGAGGCTCGATGACATTTTGAATTTACCTGTTTTATCTCTTTGGAAGCTCTTAGGCATTTTTCTATCCCCTGTTTTTTTAGAATTTCACTGATATTCTGGTTTGGCTCGTTCATTGTGCTTTTCATTTAGTTGCCCTTTCAGTCCGGAGACTCATGTTTCAAATTCTGGGAAATTTTCCAGTAATTTTAAAATAAGGATGATATTCTGGTTTGGCTCGTTCATTGTGCTTTTCATTTAGTTGCCTTTTCAGTCCGGAGACTCATGTTTCAAATTCTGGGAAATTTTCCAGTAATTTTAAAATAAGGAACTTTAATTTCTTTCTTTCATCTTTTCTTTCTTTTTGGAACTACTTTTAGTCAACTACATGATAGTTTGACATTGATGTACTGATATTTCATATTTTCTCTCTCATTCATCTGTTTATCTATTTGTTTCTGGGAGATTTTCTTGAGTTATCTCCTAAACTTTCTATTATTTTTAATTTTTTCAGCTTTTAGAATTTCTAAGAGCTCTTTCTTATTCTCTAATAATTTCTTTTTTCTTAATTTAGTTTTTAAAATAGCATCCTGCTCTTTATTCAGCTCCTAAGGATAGTAAAGATTAATTTTGAAGTTATCTTCTGCTGTTTCTCTTGTCTGTGTTTACTTGTAGTTCCTTTTATATTTGTTCAGTGCAAACCTGTATTTTTGTGTGTATGTCCTCAAACATCGGGTGGTAGGACTGTTAATTTATATTTGATAGTAAGCTACTGAACTATATTGTTTATAATAAACTACAGTGTTTATAATTTTTAGAGTAGGCTTCCTGATATTTCTATGGATATTTATTTTGAAATTTACCATACTACTTAAACATCCCTTCTTTTTGGGGGGGTAGGTGCATCCTTTTGTATTCTGCCATGCCCTGTCTTCCATCTGACCTCCCTTTCTTTTATTTCTGTTTGTTCTTTTATTCGATAAATATTTCTAGAGCTACAATAAATAAATAAAATAAATCCCACAATGTATTGTTGTTAGTTTTGTTTAAGCAATTATCTTTTTAAAAGTTTTAAATAATAAAAGTTTTAAATAATAATAATTATATATAATAATAATAATAATAATAATAATAATAATAATAATGAGGAGGAGGAGGAGGAGAGAAGGAGGAGGAGAGAAGGAGGAGGAGGAGAGAAGGAGGAGGAGGAGGAGAAGAAGAAAGAAGAAATAATAATAATAATGAGGAGGAGGAGGAGGAGAGAAGGAGGAGGAGGAGAGAAGGAGGAGGAGGAGAGAAGGAGGAGGAGGAGGAGAAGAAGAAAGAAGAAGAAAATTCTTGCATATGAGAGTATTTCAAAAAGTCCATGGAAGGCTGACTGCTTAGTTCAGTTAGTTAGAGCACAGCCTCGTAATACTAAGGTCGAGGGTTCAGATCCCCAAACTGGCCAGCCACCAAAAACAAACCAACAAAAAAGCTCGTGGGAAAGTAGAATTAAAAGATAATATGAATCTTTCCATGAACCTTAAACATCACTTGTGATTGATTAAACACATAGTTCTATTGCATTATATAATCAATTCCGTAATATTTAAGAAGAAATAATTATATCTTTTGTTTTAAAAGCTTTTTAAAATTAGTTTTTATGTGATATCTTCTTACAGTCGTTAATTTTTGTCCTATGAGTGCTTTTACTGATTACTATGAAATAGAATTAAATAATTTTAGATACTGCTGATATAAAATAGAAGTGTGCAGTGAACCACTTTTATAATAGAACTTTGTATTCTGATTCATTTTATGAGAACTAATAATAGATAATATGTAAAATTTCACTGAAAAAGTAAATAGAGCATCACTATGAGTATGGTTTTTTCAGCCTTCCAAGATCAACCTGTTGGAAATGATAGAAATTTAATGTTTATTTTGTGTGCCTGTTTCTTGATTCTAAATTATACATATGTATGTATATGTGTGTATACATATATACATTTTATTTATTTATTTTTTTACAGTTACCTGCCATGGTTTGAAGTATATTACAAGCTTCTAAATACTCTGGCAGATTACTTGGCTAAGGAACTGGTAAGCTATGTTTTTCCCCTGTTTTTTTCATTTTGGTAAAATATAAACATAAAATTTACCATGTTAACCATTTCTAAGTGTACAGTCATCCCTTAGTTTCAGGACCCCTGTGGATACCAAAATCTGTGGATGCTCAAGTCTTGCAGTCAGTCCTGTGGAACCTGTGGATGTGAAAAGTCAGCCCTCGGTTATCTGTAGTTTTCACATCTTGTGAATACTGTATTCTTGATCCCTAGTTTGTTGAATCTGCAGATGCAGATGGTGTGGATATGGAAGCTGTGGATATGGAGGGATGACTGTATAGTTTTATGGCGTTAAATACATTAATATTGTTCTGCAACCATCAATACCATATATCTCTAGGGCTTTTCATCTTGCCCAGTTGAGAATCTGTACCCATTAAGCAATAACTACCCATTAAGCAATTTCCTTCTCCCCTTTCCCTGGCAATCACTATTGAACTAACTATGTGAATTTGACTAATCTATGTATCTCATATAAGTGGAATCACACAATTTTTGCCCTTGTTTAACTGGCTTATTTCACTTGTATGTCTTCAATCTTCATCCATGTTGTAGCATGTGTTAGAATTTCTTTCTTTTTAAAGGCTGAATAATATTCTATTATATGTATACATCACGGTTTGTTTAATTATTCATCTGTCCATGGACACTTGTGTTGCTTCCGTCTTTTAACTATTGTGAGTAACACTGCAATGAAGATGGTGGCACACATATCTGTTCCAGTCCTTGTGTTCAGTTCTTTAGGTTGTATACCTAGAAGTAGAATTGCTGGATAATATGATAATTCTGTTTCATTCTTTGAGGAACCACCATATTTTCCACAGTGCCTGGAACATTTTACATTCCCAGCAGTAATGTACAAGGTTTCTAATTTCCCCACTTGCTTTCCAACACTTGTTATTTTCTATTTTTTTTTTCAGTTTTTGATAATAGCTGTCTTAATGGGTGTGAAGTGGTATATCATTGTGGTTTTGATCTGCATTTCCCTCATGATTAGCAATATTAAGCATTGTTTTAATGTTCTTATTAGCCATTTGTATATTTTCTTTGGAGAAATTTCTGTTTTAAATCCTTTGCCCTTTTTTAAATTGTGTTTTTTTGTTGTGTTGAGTTGTAGAAGTTCTTTATATATTCACATATTAATACCTTATTGGAAATGTGATTTGTAAGTACTTTCTCCCAATCCATAGGTCACCTGTCTTTCTAATCTTTTGATAATGTCCTTAGGTGCATGAAAGTTTTTAATTTTGATGAAGTCCAATTTTGCTGTTTTGTTTGTTGCCTATGCTCTTGGTGTCATATTCAAGAAATCTTTGCCACATTCAGTGTCATGTAGCTTTTGCATATGTTTTCTAATAAGAATTTTATAGTTTTAGCTTTTACATTTAAGTCTTTAAGGGTTTTTTTTTCTTAAAAATGAAAACAAAAACTAACATTTTTTTTTTTGAATTAAAAAACTTCCCTGTTGGGCCGGCCCGGTGGCGCACTTGGTAGAGTGCGGCACTTGGGAGTGTGGCGGCGCTCCCGC